CTTATCACGTTATTTAGCACCCTCGTAAAACACTAATATCGCCTGTGTAATATTTCCGTCAGTTACCGTCGTCGCCGTTACGTAAAGTAACTTCATGTCCCCGAGGCAAACTGGACCCGCGAGTACTTTTCATTCAATCGACATGCACACGTTGCTTCGTTAGCGGAAAAATAATGTTAATTGCGAGCGCGACGTCGCGCACAACGCAACATTGTAGCACACGTAACGATCCATGTAACGATCATCGTAGGCAATCATCGGCAACACGTCGATGATGATACCGTCGACAAATCAATGAATTATCAACGGTGAGTTCGTGACTCTCTATTTTTTGATTATTTTTGTCGTGGACCAATCGAGCTCGATAATATCTCATCTAAATCAGATTAATGATTAACAATTATAGATTACATCAAGAGTCAATGTAAATAAGAAAACGCGTCATTTGATAGACAAGTGATTGAAAAAAGAGAGAAAGTATGAATAATTTCATTTATACTTTAACACATGAGAAAGTTCTTCGCGTTAAAGGATTCATTAATCAAGAGGAATTAAGAGATAATAATACCGAAAATAATTCAGAATAAAAATTGTTATCTGAATTTTTGTGAATACAAAGTCAGGACATTCGCATTGTAGTAAAAAGTTTTTTTCTAATTAAACAATTAAAAAAAGTGATATTAACAAAACAAAAAGGAATTAAAGTATATTGCCTTCTCGAAAAGATAATAATAGTTTACATCAAACTTTTCAATTGTAACTTTATTCTAAATAATCCGAAGATCTGGGTGGGAAATACCGTTAACGAAGCACAGCGATAAATCTACAAAATCTGAGGAAGAGGCTGAAAATCCAATACGAATAGCGCAATTTAGAACTTTCATAAATAGTCAAGACTGACTTTGCCGAGTGCCACAGGTAGAAATCGATAACGTCCGTGGAGCAGCGCCGTCTTGCGCAACCCGTCGTCGGCCATTGAATTATTCATTCATTAATTTTCGGTAGCTGTCCGCGCCAGAGGATCAGCAAGCGAACGAGCGAACGACACTCGCCTGTCTCCTCTTCGTACAGAGTCACGAACCGTTTGTCGGCCGAACGGATGACACAGTGCGGAGCCTGCCGGTAATGTTTTCATCAGCATTTCGGGAATGGCGGACCGTATTTTAAGGCAATAATTTTCGCCGCGGTCGATGGCCCGGTCCTCCGCGCGGCGCGGCGTCGAAACGGGGACATCGGCCCTTTTGATCGTGCTCGAAGGGGCCTGTCGAGGGCCACGCCACGGGGCCATTATCGACCTTTAAGGACCTTGCTGCGACTCGTGGAGACCGGTTACCATAACCGCACGTATAACCGCTCGCTACGTCGGGAGGACCTCCCGGAGGTGTTATAGGAGTCCCCGAGCGCGGTCTCGGGCCGTGGTCGAATGTATTTTTCCGTCGTTACCGTCTTTGAACGTCTCGCTCTTGCACTCCAACGGTGTTCATTAAATAAGCCCGACTCGATGATTTGATCATCCCACCCGAATTAGAATCTCATGTATTGCGGAGATAAGGAGAGAAAGAGGGAGAGAATCCTGTTGAAATTTCAATTAGACATTTCCGCGTATTAAAACGAATATCTGCCTCTGTTTTAAGACAATTTCAACCAAATTTTGATTAATTTTAAGCAATATTTACAATAATTATTAATATAGATAGAATTAGTTTTTTGTTGTTTAATATACTGAAAGAGACGATTGGATTAAGAACAATGAATTATACACACACACAGAGTTAGGAATTTTATTAATTAATCTTCGATTAAGTTAATCGGAGGTTAGTCAAAATTGTATTTATAGTTGAATATTGTGACCATCGGTTTAATGATGCTCACATCATATTACATTAATTTCTACACTATATTGCATAGTTTAATAACGTTTAATTCGGGTTTAATTAATTTATTACTCGATTATCCGATTCTAATTTAACAAATCGCGCAGTTTCCATCGCGATCGCGTTGACGAGCGGAAGGACGCAGGAATCGCGCGTCCTGCAATCGCGACGCTTTTTTCTATCGCGTCAATTGGCTGATGAATTTTTCATCGGGTCGGAAGATGCAAAGTAGCTGCCTCGTAAAGTATACAACACGTTCGTTATACATTCGTACGCTCGTTGTACATACGTATCAGAGACGCTCCTCCTCCACCGATCCCCGGACCATACCGTGTTACGGCGCGATTCCCGCCGGTCACAAAGGGGATCGTTCATCACTTCCAGTAGTCACGAAAGAAGCGAGTACCTCTTCCTCTCCGTAGAACCGTGTCCGGGAACGCGGCGATTTTGTTTGCAAACGATCCAGCGCGGCCTGGCTACCGCAGAAAACTGCCGCCGCGAAATTGAATTCGCCACAGCGCGGTGCGGCGACCCGCCATTTTTCGCCTTGACTAATCGATACGGTGATATCATAGTTCGCCACCCACGTGGAACGGCAAGGACCGTAGGATGCGACAGATCTATGGCGGCGTGGCGTCGCGAATAATGAAGACCGGTTGCGGCGATGTCGATTTTTTTCAGTTATAAGCGACTGAGAAAACTATAATTATATTTTGCTACGATCTACCGTAAAGTAATTTGCGCAGCGTTGTTTTAATCAGTTTAAATTGAAGTTCAAATTGAACTTTAAAGACAAATTATGGTGTTAATAACGTCATCATTAATGATGCTATTAATAATGACATTAATAATAATAATTTACATTCAAATATGAAATACACATAATAAAGAATAGTGATAATTCTTGACAGTGTTACGATGCGCATTACGAATGTTTATTTTATCAATTTACACAAAATTAGAAATGTGCGAAAGAAAGAATTTTTGAAAGAAATATTCGCAATCGTGTTACGGAATTGCTTGCAACGACGTATCGAATTATTATTTTTTCGCTAATTTTACAGCGCGAGATAGGCGCAGAAATAAAGTAACTGCCGAAAACGACGTTGAAAACAATTTGCTCTACGGGTGTCTGAATTAATCACTATGCTGCCGAGCCGTTTAAATCGCTTCTATGCGCGACGATCATTAATTCAAATCACTAGGTTGAACTACTTTTCCTTCCGGTGAACTTCCGACAACACGAGAGAAGCTTAAGAACCTCCCGAATGTGATTCGACTTCTAACTTAAAGCAAACTGCTGGTAATCCGCATTTCGAAAATTCCCTCGTGCTCGCGTTTTCGACGAATCGTGTCGCATGTAAAATTCACCGGAGACTCGTTGACCGGCACTCATGTTTTTCCGAGATAAGCAAAAACTAAAACACGCGTCGTGCAGCAAGTTTACAAGTTTCCGATGCTCACTTATACGCAACAGAACTATTTGTGCATCGTCGGACAAAAATAAAGTCTATTTTTAATCTGACGTTACTAAAATGATGTTTATTAAAATCTAACTAATTCAAGAACTGAAATCAATTTTAAGATTTTTAGAATACTTTAAACTAAGTTTGGTCCTCGGATCCAAATTATATTAATAACATTGCTATGATTCAAAAGTTATTAAAACAAACTTTTTCCTCATAATACAAAATTTTTTATTGTAACAAAACAATTAGGAAAAAAATACTATGTTTATAGTACCTGAGGTTTGTCATATCTCATCTTAGTAACGCTGGGTTAAGATCAGACCGAGCGAAACGGCGCCCGCGTTGTTTGACGAAAAAACGCCAAGGTCTAATACTTTACTAGAGATCCCTTTTTCTCAAATCGCCGATCCGTTGCTTAATCACGCAAAAACATTGATCTTTCCCGCGTGATTCGTCGTCGATAGATCATAAACGGGAAGACAACTAAATCATCGGAAAAGGTGCCGAAGGTATTCACCGGTCACCGCTCAAGAACTTTCGTGATTCAGAAAGACAACAAAAAAAGACGTAGGGAAATTTGAAATTTTTATCATTGTATCATAAATATTTATATATTGTGTATGCTATGCATTGATTATTGAGCTACAAATAAATCGGCGTTTTTAAGATATATTTCTGATCGTAGCAGTGGCATAATGAAAAGAGAGTCGCGTATAGTCGATCTATATTCGTTCTATATCAACGCATCTATATTCATCGATGCATATGTATGATGCAGATTGTGAACGTGAGTTCTAATTATATGTGGGATATTAATAGTTCCTCAATAATAATAATTCTCTATTTATACGGTAATGATTAATTAATTTCTAATAAATATCATTTATTTAAGTTATCTTACAAGGAGTGTCGGTAAATTTAAAAGAGCATATTCTTTAAATATAAAGGTAATTCTATTAAGCATCAATTAATTTTTCTTCACAATGTTAACAAACTTTATTTATCTACACTGAAAAAAAAGATGGTTGCTGCAGCAAATTAGATAGTAAATATGGCA